ATGGAAAAGCAGTGTAGAGACTCGTAGGATCACAACAAGACACAGAATTATTATTATTTCTTGTGTAATATAAAGTTCTTCTCTACTAATATATTGACGTTAATTCAGTAGTATTTAGTGAAAAAGTAGCCACTGATCCCAACCGTACTTCCATATTTCCAGAAAATATAATTGCTTCCCGTACTTTCAGATCTGCTGAAGTTCTGATTGGTTACGTGTAGAAGTTTTAGCACGAACGAAGGGATTATATCTATCACATTGGTGTTACCTCTTCAGAAACACCGAATATGAGGATCTTGGTATTTTGATTAGCGTTTTTAAAGTTGCGAAATCGAAAAGATTTTGTCTTTAACAAGAATATACAAAGCCACTGCATGTAGTTAAAGAGAAATGACCAAGTATGTTACTGTGTTTTTCATGAGATCAGTATACACGATGTAATTGGCCATCATGATGCCAGCTTCCTGAACTACATGGCTATTTTGCTTACTTATGAAATATCATGAAATATTCAAAAACAGGCTTAGAAATTCTTCACAAATAGATTATTTTCTGTAAATAATATTTCTCTTTAAAATATACTTCTGGTAACTGATATTTCTCACGATGGCTACTGACGCTATCCCACACAGCATGCTTATGTTAAAGTTAGTTAAATCCTTTCCGTGCCCAAAGCACATAATGTTTGTGCTTACGAACTAGGGTTCCAATGACACAAGCGGATAAGAATCGTGACCCATTCCCCCTGGACAGGATTTGAGTTCATCACAAGTTAACAACTATGTATCAATTTTGCTTATGTAGTAGGTTATTAAAAGACTATTCTCTATGTTTTATGGTAAAGTAGCTATAGATTAAGACTAGGCAGTCCAATAACTTGTTACAGTCACTGAGGCATGGGGTTTATGGTTTCGGCTTTTCATAGAGTTTAAAAATACTTGACAAAAAGTTAGTTATCATGAACTACAGCAGTGGTTCATGATATGAATCGCCCATTTGTTCTTTTTTATTTATTTATTTTAAATATTGTTCTGCGCAATATCACTAAACGCATCATTGTGCATTGAGTATAGTATTTTTTAAGTTTATTTGACTACCTAGCAAATAACAGCGGCTGTATAACCGTTGACTCCAAATCATTTTAATGTAGTCTGTAGTTTATATGAAGCCTCATAATCTACTACAGGCATACGTATATAGCTGCGTGCAGGTCATGGATATAATTTAATGTTCATAGTGTAGGTATGACACATGTACTACAGCGATTATTAACTTATTGTTGCAACTTTATCGACGTCATGTATCATTTGTTTATATATATATAGGGTTCCTGCCCTTTGTACACGGCACTGCTGATAGTATAATACGTTTCTTATATTTTTTACCACTGCATGATTGATTTTGGCCATGTTATACAAACGTCTAGGTTATCTTCTACAATATAAACCTTTGAGCCGTAGTTTTAAAAATAACACCAAGCTCAGGTTTGAGCATTGGATCGACAATCACGGTGATGGCTGATGGTAGATGTCGAATAACAGCCAACAGTGCATGGTATCGAATTTTATAGATACTGCACATAGAGCAGCCACCCTTGAAGCCAGTCCTACTCTCAGATACACACCTCCAAAAGAATATCTGGTTTCATCAAATCTACACCATCGACTTGGCTGCCAACAATGAGTACAATTGCTCCGCCACACCTTCGCAGAGAGGAGGCCACTCAAAAGCAGCACCAACGCATTAGAAACACAAATATTGACACACCTTTGAAGCAAATAATTGACAGAACACCCACCATTTCTAGAATAAAATCTAGAAAATCTTCCTATAAATCAACGGAAGAAACTTCAACATTAAGGAAGCTTGGAGCGAAAAATAGAGGGAGTGCCCTCTCAGGGGTGGAGACTTGGTGGGGGACCATACTGAGCCACTGCCCGGTTTCTTTCATCTAACCAGAAAGCAATGGACATAGGCAAACAGGCTGAGGTCAGGCCATGGCAGAACAGCGGCAAACCTGCATCGATGGGGTTATCGTGAATCCCTTGCATGCCCAGCATGTCAGGAATCCCCACAAGACACAAACCATCTTGTGTTGCACTGTGCGGTCACTGCGGTACCGGGTGGGGATATGGTACAATCCGTGAATCGGGCGAGGTCTTCATTGACTGGATCATGACTACGAATTTGGAGGTGTGAGAAACACCATACGCAACTACTACCCTTGAAGCTGACTAGAAGAAGTGGTAAGAATCGAGTAAGCACGAGATGTCGAAAATGATGGCAATTCTAGGCGAAAGTGAAGCAGAAATTTTGTAGTTATGTATTTGACTTAGAAAATATTTACTTTCAGAGAAATAATGCATCAGCGACGGCCCACCATAGTTTAGGGTCATCACAGTAGAAGAGGGTCGTAGAAGTGTCACGACCCAAACTCCATCAGAAATGGGGGGTGGAAAGGTATATTAATATAATCAATTCATGGTTGTTACTTAACACATTTTTGACCTTGTAGAGTGTGAAGAATGTCAGTGTTAGAGGAAATCTGGTCAGCTGCAGCAAAACCGTGACTGGCCGTACTATGACCAGTGGACAAGAGGAGAAGAAAGAGGAAGGGGAAATATAACAACTATAAGAAATATTAAAAATGCGTATTTGCATATATATTATATTATATTATCACTCATTGTCTTATATTTGCATTGAATATATATGCATGTGTCTCTAAAACTCGAAAAATTAATATGGCTATCTATACATATATATATACGGTTTTAAATTGCTGTCATTTTTTCCAGAGAGAGCATCATACACCATCTAAATATTTCATTAAACTAAACTTTTGGAAATAGGACAATATTACTATTATACAGATTTATGTCCATGGAGAACATAAAAAGCTAAAGAAACAAGATTATTAAAATTGTTCATTTGAAAAAGGGGAAAAAGATCACTTCAAAAAATTAAAGAAACAAGACAGGCAGATTAAAAGTGAAAATGTAACCACAAAAAGTAAACAAACAAGCTTAAAGTTTGAGACATAGTGCTGACGCTATTTCCTCAAGCTACAAATCCCTATTTTAACTTCATGTCTAAAAATTGTAATATTCAGAAAAGTAGCTTGAGGAGACAATGTACACAGTATGTTTGAAACCTTAAACTTGTTTGTTTACTTTTTATGCTATTACATTTTTACTTTAATCTGCCTATCTCTTTTCCGTATTTTTTAAGACCCCTATTCCCCTTTTAATATTAATAATTATTAATAATTTTGTATTTTATGAATGCTAAGTATGGTACTAGAGTTTAAATATAAAACCTAACAAACCTTTGACGTTTATGTATCAAGTGTTGCCATCTAGAATCGATTTTACAAAAAAATAGCTAAAAACATGCCTGCGTACTGTATCTCTTAGTTTGTTGCTAATAAGTGGAAACATAATACAACTATTATTAGACAAAGATATAACGTTAAACGTTGTGAATTTTGTCAATGTGATTTAATATCGAGAAAGAGTTCGAGATTTCTGTGGTAATTTCTATCAAATAAGTCTCAAATCCTGTCTCAGGACAGGAACTTACAGTCCTTAATCCTACTGGAGTAATGTCTTGTAAAAGTGTTGGGTTATAAATGTACATGGGTTATTTCATCAGTTTACGTCGTAGATTAATCATGTTTAACGTTTCACTTTCTTAGTTTGTTCTGGACAAAGTGTTGGGTTATAAATGTACATGGGTTATTTCATCAGTTTACGTCGTAGATTAATCATGTTTAACGTTTCACTTTATTAGTTTGTTCTG